CAGTCGACCCCCCTATAACACTGTTGATTTTTCCGTTTTATATGAATTCCATGTTATACGAGTCACTTAGATTTTACAAATACGTGAGCCGGGTTGTGAATGGCTCATGTATTTGTAAAATCTAAGTGACTCGTACAACATGGAATTCATATAAAACGGAAAAATCAACAGTGTTATGTGGGGGGTCGACTGTATTATCACTATGCATTTAGGGTGTTTTTTTTTAAATATAAATTTAAAAGAAACTTTCCTAATGAATTGACATTAATGCAATATTACTAGTCTTAAAAACATCTTTATTTTACCTGAGTTTATAACTTTTTTTTTTCTAAATTATGCAGAACATTTTCATATTTCTATTGTCTTTTATATAAACATTAACATTAACATATTTTTAGGGCTATAAAGTGTATTACACAATAAAGCCTAATCTTCCTACGTCAGCTTGGATGACCCAAAATGTTGATAATAATCAATTAACAACTATTAGTGGTCTTTTACCTCTTAATATATATACCGTACGGGTACAAGCATTTACTAGTCGTGGTCCTGGACCTTTATCTGGTCCTATTCAAGTAAAGACTCAAGTAGGAGGTAAGATTATGTATCATATTACTATATAAATGAATATTTATGATATGAAATTATATAACATTGTTGAAATTTATGATGTATAACATATGATATAGTTTTTGACATTTATTTAGATGTAATTTTATTTAGCATATTTTAGTACAAAAATGTAATGTGAAAGTTTGGTTAAAATTATAAATATAATAAGTTTATCATTATAATTATATAATTCTTATGTATAATAATTAAACTAGATACTGAAAAGTCAAACAGCTGTTCATTATCATTTATATATCATTCATATTATATTTGATTATTGTTTCAACATGTTCATTCAAATATCTATGTTAAAAATTGTCTTCAATTTATATTTTATTTTGTAATACAGTAGTTTGAAATATTTCTCCCCCTGAATAAAGAAAATCAGTAACTCTTTATTACAAAAAAAAAAACAGTATTTTTTGAAACATTTTACTTTTATTAATCTTTATTAAGACAATCCAGATAGGTCTATGCTTTCACTGAAACAGTCCAAATAGTTTTCACCCTTGTTTGGTTTGATTGGGTTATGGCAATGCAGTACATGGGTGATGCCTCACAGGAGGAATTTAATGAGAAACTGTCCCTAAACGTGAATAAAATGCAGTAACTTCTAAGTGTTCAGTAGTTTTATCTACTAGGGTTTATTTCCCCTTGTAATAAATTAATTTGATTATCATTAAAGAGAATTTTTAAGATGTTTTTGTTACCATCATTCTTAATATTTGATAATTACAATCAGGCATTATGCATTCATATTTCCAACATTTAACAAATCTTTTCAAACTTTTAGTTTTTAAGAATTTTGTTATATTTAACATTACATTCATTTACTTTTTTTGTTTAGTGTTTCAATTTGCCAGCTCAATGAAAATTTAAAGCCACTTAAATTTTGTTGTCATTATTACTTAGAACTAAGTCAAAGCTCTTAATTGTTGTAGAGTAGATGTATTTTCAATAATCTCAAGTTTCTGTAAGATTTTGTTTTTTTTCCCCCTTATAAAAGTTTCCGAAGAATGTGTAATTTAATTTTTACGATAATTAAACAATGTAGCAATAGAATTACATTTTATTTTCTGTTTTCCAGCTTGGAGATTTTTCACAGTAACTTGGAGAAAAGTGAACTTGTAACAATTAAAAAAAAAAAAAAAATTAGGTTTAATAACCAATATTATATTTATTAGTTATTTACTTATCCATTAGAATATGCGGAATACAAATTTTTCTTTATAATGAAAAATCTATCAGCCAGAATCTATTTTCCGCTCTAGACCACATTAGCAGAAATTTTTCCGAGTTCAATTTTTTGAAAAGGTTTTCATTAAATAAGCATCAGTTTTCATTAAATTAATTAAAGTTTTCCTCTTGGTGGAGGAGAGCTGAGGATTTTTTTCTGGGTCCTAAGAAAACTTAGGAACCTGTAGTGGTTCCTAATCTATAAATTAATGATATTTTTACTAACAGANTATAACAATTTATAATTATTAAATTGTTCTTAAATTTATATATCTTAAATATTTCTGGTTAATATTTTATGAGATTAAAGAGGAAAATTTCATGATGCAGGCAGTATTTGATCAAACGTGAAATAAATCGCGCTTCGAGAGGAAAGAAAGGAAAAAATAAAAATAAAACTGGTCGCGTTAAGTGATAATTTGAATTATTTTTCAAATACTGCCTGTTTAAGGTAGAGGTTTTAAAGCTGATTTTAGAAATTTCACCGTTATCTCAACCTACAAAATACCTTGCACTGTAGCATTTTGAACCTTTTGTCTCTTGTCTGTCTTCCTCCTTAGTGGAATCTCCAGGGATCAGCAGTAAGTGTAGCGCTATCATCTCCTCCTGTTGTCTTACCTCTACCTCCCTATTCTACAGGCCCTGTCCGTTGTGTCTCACCATCCTCCCATCAAAAAAATAAATAAAAAATTATATTAATAAGTCTTCATTATTACGGTGTGCATGCATGCTTTTGAGATCGGTGGCTCGAAAAAAGAAGAGATGTTTGCTGTATTCGGGGGAGAGATTAGAATCGAGGGAGTCGGAAATTTCAATGATTAAATATTGCATAATAATATTACAGCACACCACCTCCTCTAATAATTTTGGGTCACCCGTAGATTTAGATAGATTAGTGTTAGCCCAATTGGAGGGTTAGCCTGTATCCTCCAGGCAGAGTAGCTGTTTTAGATATTTTGTGTGTGTGTGTGTGCATGATAATACCAAACATATTTTAAATATAATCTGATGTATTTAGTGATATACTTTGTACATTATAAGACTAAATAATTTTGTAGATTTTTGTAGATTTTTTCTGTTAATTAATTCAGATATTTAAAAATCAAATTAATACAATTAATAAATAAAGCAATACGTTTTTTATTTGATTAATTTAAATAGTAATTACTAAAGTTAATAGATCAAATCTATAGTTTTAATAAAGTAAATTCGATGTTCTGTTAATTTTGTGTAAATATAGTTTTATATGAACCTATTTCCTAATGGTTTCTTTCTCTGATATCAGAGCCGGGAAGTGCTCCACGAAATATTCAAGCGAGGGCACTCAGTTCCTCTACAGTTGTCATTCAATGGGATCCTCCAAAAGAACCAAATGGTCAAGTAACGGTATGAAAACACATCATTTATTAATTATTCTGCAAATTTAGCATATGCTTTGAGTTTTTTTTTATTATTATAAAGTTTTATTTAGTTATAACTCTGTTAAGCATACAAGTGCATTGGCTATAAACTGTATTATCTTTAAATATATAAAAAAATAAATTGATCCATCGATTCACAAACGAATCCTAATAGTTTATCGACTTCCATATAAATCAGACGATCTCTTGGTGGAGGAGAGCTGAGGATTTTTTTCTGGGTCCTAAGAAAACTTAGGAACCTGTAGTGGTTCCTAATCTATAAATTAATGATATTTTTACTAACAGAAAATAAAATCTTTAAGACTGAAGAAACATTCTATATATTTATTTTGTTCAAAAACATGATAGTAAGAGGTCCACTCTACCTTCGGGCCCCATACAAGTTCTCCTCTCGTGGATCGATACTCAACTAGGGAACACTTGAATTAACTTACTGTATTAGGTTTATTATATAACTTCATTAAGATCTTAAATCTGTTTAAGCTGTCAGAGAATTATATCTTAAAAAATTTCTTTTCTTTTTCTAATATAATCCTTTTAGAGAATTAGATTGGATTGATTTACGTTTTGATACCACTGCATAATGTAGCTCGTAATGGTTGGCCATTATATCCATAATAGAGTTTTAACCAACACGTGTGAGAGATAAAGAATGTATCCCAAACACGAGAAGTTACAAAAATCTATACAGGATCAGAATACGACTCCTTTGTGGATATAAAAGAAATCTTTTATGTACAATGATATCGATAATCGATTTTAAATAAAATCAATTTATTAATTACTGAAACTTAATTGCTTTAAAAAATTTTGTCCCTTTAAAAACTATCGTGTGTTGCTAGGTTATTCCTAACAAACCGTTGCTAAGGGATGTAGCTAATACTAATAATAATGTTTATTGTTCACGATTTGAACAACGAATATACATACATTGGTATAGACTTATACATATCAATTATTATAAAACGATTCCAAATTTAAATATTTCATAGATAGATCCAGAGGACAATATACAAATCAGTGTAATTTGTTCCATTTATCACTGTTAATTATTTAATTAAAAGAAGATAAATTTTCTTATGTTATTTGTAATTTGTTCTAATAATATTGTTTTTTTTACATTTATAACCGCATTTAATCAGAGACAAAGCCCATACTAAGGTATTTAGATGTTAGTATTTACAGTCGACCCCTCTATAACACTGTTGATTTTTCCGTTTTATATGAATTCCATGTTATACGAGTCACTTAGATTTTACAAATACGTGAGCCGGGTTGTGAATGGCTCATGTATTTGTAAAATCTAAGTGACTCGTACAACATGGAATTCATATAAAACGGAAAAATCAACAGTGTTATGGGGGGTCGACTGTATTATCACTATGCATTTAGGGTGTTTTTTTTTAAATATAAATTTAAAAGAAACTTTCCTAATGAATTGACATTAATGCAATATTACTAGTCTTAAAAACATCTTTATTTTACCTGAGTTTATAACTTTTTTTTTCTAAATTATGCAGAACATTTTCATATTTCTATTGTCTTTTATATAAACATTAACATTAACATATTTTTAGGGCTATAAAGTGTATTACACAATAAAGCCTAATCTTCCTACGTCAGCTTGGATGACCCAAAATGTTGATAATAATCAATTAACAACTATTAGTGGTCTTTTACCTCTTAATATATATACCGTACGGGTACAAGCATTTACTAGTCGTGGTCCTGGACCTTTATCTGGTCCTATTCAAGTAAAGACTCAAGTAGGAGGTAAGATTATGTATCATATTACTATATAAATGAATATTTATGATATGAAATTATATAACATTGTTGAAATTTATGATGTATAACATATGATATAGTTTTTGACATTTATTTAGATGTAATTTTATTTAGCATATTTTAGTACAAAAATGTAATGTGAAAGTTTGGTTAAAATTATAAATATAATAAGTTTATCATTATAATTATATAATTCTTATGTATAATAATTAAACTAGATACTGAAAAGTCAAACAGCTGTTCATTATCATTTATATATCATTCATATTATATTTGATTATTGTTTCAACATGTTCATTCAAATATCTATGTTAAAAATTGTCTTCAATTTATATTTTATTTTGTAATACAGTAGTTTGAAATATTTCTCCCCCTGAATAAAGAAAATCAGTAACTCTTTATTACAAAAAAAAAAACAGTATTTTTTGAAACATTTTACTTTTATTAATCTTTATTAAGACAATCCAGATAGGTCTATGCTTTCACTGAAACAGTCCAAATAGTTTTCACCCTTGTTTGGTTTGATTGGGTTATGGCAATGCAGTACATGGGTGATGCCTCACAGGAGGAATTTAATGAGAAACTGTCCCTAAACGTGAATAAAATGCAGTAACTTCTAAGTGTTCAGTAGTTTTATCTACTAGGGTTTATTTCCCCTTGTAATAAATTAATTTGATTATCATTAAAGAGAATTTTTAAGATGTTTTTGTTACCATCATTCTTAATATTTGATAATTACAATCAGGCATTATGCATTCATATTTCCAACATTTAACAAATCTTTTCAAACTTTTAGTTTTTAAGAATTTTGTTATATTTAACATTACATTCATTTACTTTTTTTGTTTAGTGTTTCAATTTGCCAGCTCAATGAAAATTTAAAGCCACTTAAATTTTGTTGTCATTATTACTTAGAACTAAGTCAAAGCTCTTAATTGTTGTAGAGTAGATGTATTTTCAATAATCTCAAGTTTCTGTAAGATTTTGTTTTTTTTCCCCCTTATAAAAGTTTCCGAAGAATGTGTAATTTAATTTTTACGATAATTAAACAATGTAGCAATAGAATTACATTTTATTTTCTGTTTTCCAGCTTGGAGATTTTTCACAGTAACTTGGAGAAAAGTGAACTTGTAACAATTAAAAAAAAAAAAAAAATTAGGTTTAATAACCAATATTATATTTATTAGTTATTTACTTATCCATTAGAATATGCGGAATACAAATTTTTCTTTATAATGAAAAATCTATCAGCCAGAATCTATTTTCCGCTCTAGACCACATTAGCAGAAATTTTTCCAAGTTCAATTTTTTGAAAAGGTTTTCATTAAATAAGCATCAGTTTTCATTAAATTAATTAAAGTTTTCATTGATTTTCTGATCTACTTACATAAGCAAATGCACAACAACCTATCATTTTCTAGAAAAAGTCAATAACTATAAAAAAAAATTATTGTTACTAGGAAATTCATAGTGTAAAAGTGATAAGCATAGATTTAGTATTTACCAGTATCAATCTTTGAAACAATGACAAAAATAAAGTTTTATTTTACTTGAATATAATACTCTTTCTTCTCAAAAGATTGTATTTAATTTAATTCAATAACAACATGATCATGCATGCACTTTAAAAAAGTATTAAATACATATATGACATAAATCTATTACTCCTGTACTTGCTAATGGATATTCACATTTAAACTACATTGTAATTTTTTATTTTGTAACTCATAAATAAGCTAATAAATCTATTTATCAAAGTATATTATATACTAGTTTCAATAATAATTTCCAGTTTGTTTTATTTGTCCATCGCAGTATTTACTAGCTCTTCTATTTTGTAAGTTACGAGACACGTTTGGGGCGTCATCTTGGTCTATATAATGTTGATAAGAATGATTGACCTACTAGATTTACAACAAATAGCCAGTAAATAAAGTACCTGCTGTTAATGTCATTGCTGTTGATTTTAATAGGAAAGTTGAACACAGGCTCAAGAGAGCTGTAGATATCTAACATCCACTTAAATTGACAGTCAGTTTTCTAAATAGTTTTAACAGAAACCTATTAGCTATCAAAATACAAATTCAACTGGGAATGTCTAATAATATCAATTAAAGCATTGATTAACATAAGGAAATTGAACCAGAGAGAACTAAAGACAAAGTGTACATATCCTAATTGGTAGTTTTGGGTAAAATTACTATGGTAGATAAATATGTCTGCAGTGTACAGAGGAGTTTTAAAGATGCTATTGGTAAGTTGAAGCTGTTTAATGAGTTGAAACTGTAAGTTAAGATTGACAGGTAAACCACATTATTGCATAATCCTCACCTGCTTTCAAACTGACCTTTAAACATATACAATCTCTGCGTTATCTGCACAAAGTACATGAATAAAAAAATTTAAATGATTGAGTATACTGGTACAAAGGTACCCATCCAATACAGGGACCAATTGATCCTCCTGAGATTGCTTTATTCTTTGTTTCTTCTTTTTTCCAAGTTTATAAAGTAATGACATTTCTGTAAGAAATTTATTTTAATATTAGTTGCATTGCTAAAACCCATATGAAACAAGATGGTATCTCTAGTTCTTCAAGCCATATGCAGCCACTATTCTTTGGAAGTCTTAATATTTTGTAGGATAATTTAAATTTTCAATTAATTTTTATACATGTTCACTCTTATAAAAATAGTATAAACAGCAACAAATCTGTGTATGGAATATGATTTTAGTAAATCAATTGGTTGGTTATTTGATCTAAATCTCATTTGCTTAATGTGACAAGTGAGACAAAATCCTAAGAGGACTTTTGTGCTGATAATACTGTATTAAGAATAATTGTGTATTAGCTAAACTATATCTACAGTATTTTAAACATTTTTTTTACTTATTTACAAGATCTTATTTATATTTATTATACAGCAAAAACATTTATTGTGATTAAAGTTATTGCTGGTAAAGCACAAATGGTGTTTTATTTATTTATTTATTTATTTAATTGTCAAATCTCGGGTTATTAAAAAGGAATTTTTTTTAGTTGGCTACTTTTTAGAAAATGTTTGGCTACCAACACTAAAAACATCTGGCAATGCTGCTGGCCAGTCCCTAACCAAGGTCCTAGAATATATTCTGGGACCTTGGTTAGGGACTGGTGTTGGAGCAAACCTAGTATTTGCCAGAGATATTTACAAGTTAGAATTTTAAAAGTATTAATATATTTTTTGTCACTCTTAGCCTAGGGATAAATTTGGATGGGGATGTGAAGCTTATCTTTAATCATTGCAATAAAATACTTGCAAATATTTTTATAAATTCATTTTGTTTCATCATAATTTCACATTTTCTACGAAAACCGGACAAATTAATAATTAATCCGGACCACTAATTTAAAAACCGGCCTACTGGCAATACTAGTTACAGTTATGAGTGATATTGATGGTAGTCTTTCTAGAAATGCCTGGTATTTATTTCTTCTATCTTTTGCAACTATGTTAAATTAATTTTCATGCAAGATATTTACTTGTGAGCAGTCTTTCTCAGAATATATCTTGTTCCACATGAATCCACTAAATACAGTAAAACTTCTCTAACTCTATAACTCAAATATTTCTTTAAGTTGAAGAAAATGAAGCACTTGGTATGGAATAGCATAGAGATTTAATGTCTCCAACTTGAATTTCCTTAACTCGAATTTTTTACAAGTTGAAGGTTCGCATGGTCTTCTGACATTCATTTATGTTACTTTCAACTTCCCTGACTCAAATTTTAATATTTATTCTATCAAAAGTGATCTTAATTATCAGATTTCCATTAAATTTTCAGATTTTCGTGGAAATCTGATTAGATACAATTAATGTACAATACCAATTTGCAATGTTTCAGTCCAAAACAAGAGGACCTCTCACTTTATCTCAATGAGAAATACCTGCAAAATTGTTCAATTTCATTAGTTACTTAAAACATTTTCCTGAAGACATTACATGGTAAGATAAAACCTTTCACACTTTGTTTCTAAGTAGTTTTAATCCATAAGAACAAACGTTTTTGGCCGTTTTGAATGGCCTTCTTCAGGTACAATAAGGTTAGCAAATATTCAAATGTCGTCACTGTTTACAAAGGTTTCTTCTTACTAGTGATGTCATTGCTGATTACAAAGTTTAAAACATATCGATAATGTTAATTTTCTATTAATTTTACACAAGATGTGCGAACGACTATCGATGATAAGATAATTGTTTAAATTTGGAAAATAAAATAACAATATAAATTTAGCAAATGCTCGACAGATTGCGACAGGCTCGATGAGGGTGGATTTGACCTTGGTTATGATTTTATACGCTTGGCTCATTCTATGGTCAAAATCAACTACAATGCGTTTACATTGCTGTTTTAGAGGTCTGGAATTAATCGCTTCTGTCAAGAAGGTCAAAGCTGATCTTACATACAAACGCAACCTCCTCGATATATATAAACTTCTGATAATACCAAACATAAATGCAGCGAAGCCAAAAGACCTGGTATTTATTCTGTTCCACTAGAGAACACAGATTTAATCCGAACAAAAAATTAACATACATAGGCTCAACCAACAGATCACTTACAAAAAGGATAGCTGAACATAAATACGACACACACAACAAAAAGTTTAATTCCACCCTAGCCCAATTTGCAAGCGAACCGAATATAACGGCCAAATGGGAAGAGGCTAAGATTATTATACTTATGCTTTGATAGTAACAAACTTAGAACAATTGAAACACTAGAAATCTTTGCGAAATCCCTCAAGGAAAATCGTATTAACACCAGAGATGCAGACTCGCTCTCCATGGCTATCACTCCTCGTTAACCTCTTAAATTAAATAGGCCAATCCACCCNGAAACTTTATACGTATCTCATTTCCGGCTGTAGGTTCCTTATATCAAAACGTTCAAAATTTCATCCTCTACAATCCTCAAATTTTTAAAATTCTGATACACCCTGTGTATGTATATACATATATTACAAACATATTTTATTAGTAAAAGTGCATAGTTGCAAAATAATTCATTTTTATTGTTTGGGCTACAAACAGTTCAAATCCGCTACTTTTGGAGCACAACCACGCTACTTTTTAACCTTCAGATCCGGCAACACTGATTGTACCTGAAGAAGGCCATTCGAAACGACCGAAAACGTTTGTTGTTATGGATTAAAACTGCTAGAAACAAAGTGTGAAAGGTTTTGTCTTACTTATTTTAAGTAGTTCTAACTTTCCGTACATGGAAGTGACATTACATGGGCTGTTTAAAACAAAAAACTATCAAAGATTTCTTATATAATACAAGAGGTAAAAATACAGTCGACCCCCCTATAACACTTGATTATTCTGTTTTATATGAATTCCATGTTGTACGAGACACTTAGATTTTACAAATACGTGTGCCGGGCTGTGAACGGCTCACGTATTTGTAAAATCTAAGTGACTCGTACAACACGGAATTCATATAAAACGGATTTGTCAACAGTGTTATAGGGGGGTCGACTGTATAAAAGTATTCATAATCGGCATTTTTCACTCTATTATTCTCTAACTCGAATTGTCTGTAACTCAGTTTTTTACTGCCCCTTGGAGCTTTGAGTTAGAGAAGTTTTACTGTACTATGTTAGACAGAACTTTAAACTTTATAACACACCTCTACAAAGTTAATTTTTCTATTAGTGGTGAAATTTTTGGCCACAAATCTTGATTTGTCTGAAAATTTCAAGAAACTTTCCAAATATCTTGACTAATCCTCACATTTATTAATCCTCACTCATATGTCATTCCTACTTTGGTCACACGCAATGGCAGATCCAGAAGTACTGTACACAAAACAATCCAAGTCAATAATTAAAAATATTTGAATAATTAATAAGTACATTTGCATGATAGTTGCGAATGATCCAATAAACCATATTTATCATCATAAATGGTTTTAAAAATAATATTTTGAAGTTCAAACAAATAAATTTTAATTTTTTTGTGTCAGTGGGGAGTGCTTAAGACCCTGTAGCACTCTAATATTTAACCAATGGTCATATAGTTACATCTTATTAATTCTCATTTCTAAGTTGTGTCCAAAATTATGTCTAGGAGTCTACATGTTAAGCTCAAAAATTGAAATATTCAATGAGTAAAAAAAAATTACCAGAAGCAGCCCTGGATAGTTAAGATTCATGATGCATTCTAGCATTTTAAAAGATGTCATGATGTGAAACTTGTGTTAGGACTGTTAAAAAGAATTACCAAAATGCTTTAAGCTTTATCAACATACCATGTGTTGTAGAAACAGCATATGACAATTTTATCAGTCATGCATACAACAATTTGCCATCTTAACTCTCAATCTCAATCTCTCTTTAAAGGAAGAAGAGTGGCACTAACTCAAAAGCAACTCAGTCATTTGTCAATTTTGATCTGATGTAACATCAGTGAAAATATCTGGACTTTATCAGTTGAGCACAAAAGAAGGCTTACTTTGAGTAGTCAAAATAAATTCAATCTTTTTGCTTTATATAAAGATTTAATGTATTTGGGAAATATGATACATAAAATATATCTTTAATTTAATGTATCTTTAAAATATTTTTGATACACAAGACCATGAAAGTGAGAAGTTTAAAATNTAAATGGTTTTAAAAATAATATTTTGAAGTTCAAACAAATAAATTTTAATTTTTTTGTGTCAGTGGGGAGTGCTTAAGACCCTGTAGCACTCTCATATTTAACCAATGGTCATATAGTTACATCTTATTAATTCTCATTTCTAAGTTGTGTCCAAAATTATGTCTAGGAGTCTACATGTTAAGCTCAAAAATTGAAATATTCAATGAGTAAAAAAAAATTACCAGAAGCAGCCCTGGATAGTTAAGATTCATGATGCATTCTAGCATTTTAAAAGATGTCATGATGTGAAACTTGTGTTAGGACTGTTAAAAAGAATTACCAAAATGCTTTAAGCTTTATCAACATACCATGTGTTGTAGAAACAGCATATGACAATTTTATCAGTCATGCATACAACAATTTGCCATCTTAACTCTCAATCTCAATCTCTCTTTAAAGGAAGAAGAGTGGCACTAACTCAAAAGCAACTCAGTCATTTGTCAATTTTGATCTGATGTAACATCAGTGAAAATATCTGGACTTTATCAGTTGAGCACAAAAGAAGGCTTACTTTGAGTAGTCAAAATAAATTCAATCTTTTTGCTTTATATAAAGATTTAATGTATTTGGGAAATATGATACATAAAATATATCTTTAATTTAATGTATCTTTAAAATATTTTTGATACACAAGACCATGAAAGTGAGAAGTTTAAAATTAAATTTTTAATTAATTGATTTCACGACTAATGAAATCAAATTAATTTAGAATTTAATATCTAAATTGAGTAAATTACCTATATAAATATTTTGTAAAATTTATGAATTTAATTATTACAGTACATTCAATTATTTTTAACTTTTATTAGAAGAATTATTGAAAATACAAAAAGAAATATTGAAGTTTGAAAACTTACCAAATTTGGATTTTCTAGACTCAAAATATAATTCAAAGTTATAATATTTTCAAATAAGAAATAATGTAACTTTAATGAGATTATCAGTAATTTATTCATTATATAATGTAATAAATTAAATTTTATAGCAATATAATGGGTATATATGTAATAATTTACAGTATTTATAAAAATTTTTTTGTATTTTAAGTTAACTTTAATATATAATAATAGTTTCTGTATTTGAAAGTTTATAATTACTTCATAATTAAACTTATGTTAGTGACATTTCTATGAGATATTGAATTATTGTTCTCAGCATTTTATAAACATCTGTTGTAGTGTATGTGAATGCAATCTATCTATGCATCTTATATATATATATGTGTAAAATTTGAAGATATATTATTGTTTAAAAGATTAATTCTGTTTGTATTCATTGTAATGCAGAAAATAAAATAATACATCATGAAACTTATTAGAGAGGTTGCGGCCGACGTTTTCAATGCGAAAACGTGTAAGTCGGACGTTCAGCGCCGCTTTCTTATAAGACTAGAAGTTTGACAATGGTATTTGGATAGTCAGTGAAATCATGCTCAATATTCCAAACACCATTGCAAAACTTCTAGGCCCTTAGGAAAGTGGCGCTGAACGTCCGACGTATACGTTTTCGCGTTGAAAACGTTGGCCGCAACCTCTATATTATTTGGAAAACTTGGAACTGTAAAATTTCTGGATTTTGTTATTTTTTAAAATTTGGTACCTGAACTGAAATATTATTAAATGATATGAATTTAATAATTTTGATAGTTATGTAATCAGTACAACAGTTTTTAATATTTTTAAACATGTAAAATTAATTTCTTCTTTTTCTTTATTATTTAATTCATTTTTCTAAAGTATTTTATATAATCATTTAATTTGTTGTTAAATGTTTTTTTCCTACTCTCTTAATAAGTTTTACTTAGTTAATTGCATTATAATGTTGAAACAATAAAAAATATTATTTTATGTATTATGTTTTAATCAAACAAAACATATTACCCTCATCATCAATGAGTTTAGATTGTATCTTTAGAACTTAAATTTATTCTCTGAGTAAGGTGTGATTCTTTATATATAATCACTTTACAATTTGTAACTTTTGATTTGTAGATATCTTTTTTCTTTTTAATATTTTAAAGTACAATTTGAATCATCTTATCACTGTATGATGATTCAAAATATAAATTCCTACTGGTATCCTTTGTCTTGTCTTTCCTTAATCTCAAGAATGGTGAGATAGATGAAAATTGAGACCAGATATGGAAAGCTTCGTGGCAGGAGGACCTGATTAACTGTATATCACAGGAAGTCATGTTATTTCAATTTAAAAATTTCTCTTGAATGGAGTTAGATGACTGGCATGACAGTATTGTTAACAGGAAAAGTATATTGTACAGGGGCAAGATACTACTAAAATTGAGATAATTATGACAGTTGCAGCCCAGCATTGTGACAATGTCACGATAAATAATAGCTCATTTTTAAATTAATTTTTCTATAAGATTATTTGATGCATAATAATAATAATAATAATAATTTTTACATTAATATATAGATTCTATTTCAATATATGTTTATCGGTAATCACTATTAAATAAATTCAAATATGCAATGTTTTATTTTAAAAATAAAACCAATATTTCAACCGAAGAGAAATTTAATAAATATTTTAAAATATTAGTTTCATTTAACTAATATATTTTAATATATTAAATAAAAAATTACTATTATAATATATTTTATAGTTCCTAGTCAACCTGTTAATTTGAGAGCTACATCTACATCATCTACTACTGTGCACTTAACGTGGATGCGTCCATCTCATACTGGAGAAAGTATTACTGGATATGAACTATACTGGAATGATACATTTACTCAACAAGAATATCATTTAAGCATTCCTGATGTAGAAACATATACTCTTGGTGAACTTTATCCTGATACCGTATATTATGTTTGGATTGCAGCAAAATCTAGATTAGGAGAAGGAGCTGCAACTCCACCCATTCCTGTGAAAACAGAACAATACAGTAAGTTTAATAAATATTTAATAACTTTAATTACATACATTGGAAAAAATGCAAATTTCAAAAAATTTAGAAACAATTACGAAATCAAAAATATTGATATCAAGATTATTTCAATATAGGTTTTCATATATAAAAATCTATATTGAAATACTTATTAAACATCAAGATTCAAAGAAAACTGATTCAACGTACTGAAGTTTATGGTTGCCTGATATTGTTCCCGCATGTTGACCTGTAGCAAGATTTAATATTATTATTTCAATTAAATTATTTTAAATTGTATTTGTTATTGTATATTTTAACTTCAATTTATTTATACAAAATAAAAGATTATTCTTTATATTTCATAATTTAATTTTTATGAAAACATTATTAAGTATAATTATAAATGCATGTTTTTTTTATTTTATTTAAAGATTATTTTTGTTACTAATTGCACTAATTTCCTTAAATTAATAGAATATATATTATTTTATATATTAAATATTATTTTGCATGCTTTTTAATGCAATTTTAAGTTAAATTTTGATTGCACAACCCAATCCTTAATTCACCCACAGTGCCAAGTGCTCCTCCCCAGAATGTTATAGGTTCTACCATAGATTCCTCTACTTTGCGCATATCTTGGCAACCACCTCCACGTGATAAACAGAATGGGATTATAACTTATTACAAAATAAAATATCAAAAGGTTGGATCGAAAAAATTTGCTATTGAAGTCTCTCTCAATCCAGATGAGAGATTTTATGTTATAAATGATTTAGAAAAATGGACTGAATATCAGATATGGGTTTTGGCTGGAACTTCTAAAGGAGATGGTCCATTATCACCTCCTCTCATACTTCGAACAGATGAATATGGTAGGTATTTATGTTTTTTTTTTTTAGATCAGTGATTCTCAAAGTTATTGATCTGGGGACCTCTATGTCCTGTGTACTACTTATCCTGTAAATATCACCTTAGATAATGATAGGTTGTAGGCTAAAATATTTTGTTTATTTGGTAATCTGACATAAAAGAGGTAATGCATAAAAATGTTCTTTTATTTGGCTAAACAACGTAGAATTGTATTTTGAAAAAAATGACTAATTTAGTCAGCGGACAGTAGTCCATGGATTATACTTTGAGAACTACTGTTTTAGATTACAAGCTGCTATCTTCAAAAACAAATTATTTAATATCAAAATAAATTTTAAAATATATTTTTCATTTATAGTTATTTAACTTTTTGTGATCATTTTTATAAATTCAAACAGCTTTAATTTATAGGTTTAATATATTTTTAAGTGCAGTTTAATCTATAAAAGCAAAATGTAGCTATTTTTAATTACTTTGGAATCTTACTGGAAATGTTTTATTATTCAATTATAAAATATAAACAAAATTCTTTGACTTACAGTCTTACATTTCAAACTTAACAAAAATCTTTATTAACGAAAAGATTTAAAATTTTAATATTTTCAGAATAATTTTAATTTCGTCATCTATACTATAAACTTGTAATATGAGAATTTGATTTAAAATAAGAAATATATAATTATATGTTTTTTGTTTTGAATTAAATTTTTATGTTAATATTTTTATTAGAATGTTACATAAGAGGCTAGTAATAGAAAATAATAGATTTCTATTATATATTTATTATTTAATATGTGACAAACTGAATATTAAAAAAAATTTTTTTATTCAAATTATTCCTTTTATCAATACATATTATAAGGTATAATATAACCTATTTAAAACTATCTCTTTTATTGAAGTTTAAACTTTAAACATATAAAACAAATAAAAATTTAATATTCAAACTGTAAAATCCTTAAATTGTAATGCAAAAACATAAAAATTTCACCATTTTCAATTGTTCGTTTGTTTTGTTTTTTCTTTCTTTTTAAAAACATTCTCTTCTTCGTTCTTTTGTTTATCGGAAGTTAATTCATCAAAAATAAATTAGAAAAACTTAAGAGATTCTTTTCCATCTTGATCATCTCCAAAAGTAGAAACTTCAGAATTTAATTCTTGAGATTTTGAATTATCAATATCTTTTAAGCTATTAATTGTCCATCTTTTTATTTCCTCTACCATATCCTTTTTTATAAATTTTATTTTGAATCTTGGATCTAATAAAGATGACAAGCATAAAGACTTGTTTTCTACATATGCTGAAAATTTTTTTTTTATTGAATTTTCTAGTCCTTCTATTGTGTATTAATGCCATTAAAGGAACTACTGCTCTTTGCTTTTGATAAGAATAATTTCAGAGTCTCAATTGTGGGAATTATTGAAAATGAGGTGGTTTCTCGTTTGCTGGCTTCCACCGTAATTTCTTCGAATGGTTTTAAAAGTAGAACAATTTTTTCAACGTGAGACCACTGATATAGGCTCAAACGTAGGAATTTTATTATCTATAGCATATGTGACAGGTTTTTTGCTGTTCCAAGTTTCTTTGCAACATGTAGTATGTAGAATTCCAGCAAGTAGGAACATCTTGAATTAATTTGTTTCAGCAAATCTAACTTGTCTTGCAAATCTTCCAATTTGCTTACAGCTACAGCAAAATGATTAAAATGTGCGACAATATTTCTATTAACTGTGATTATAGTTTTCACATCTTGTCGAGAAAATATGCATTTGTTTAGTGTCAGCTGTGGTGTATGTATAAAGCAAGATAATGCCTCTAAGTTGCAATTCCTGATTCCAGCTACCATATTTGCTATGGAACTGTTCAAGTACTAAGAATATCTTATCACTTGTCAACTTGTACTGTTCAAGAACAATGTTTATCTGTTCACTGATTCATGTAGCTGTGTGGGAACCTTCAGAGGGAACAATTTGCAAAACAGCTCTTTCTTGCTGAAAATCATCCTTCAGCTACCTGTGGGCTGTTGCACTTAAAAAAGGAGAATTGTTTGTAGTTGCTATTTAAATATCAGCAGTTAAAGAAATACAGTGGAACCTCGGTATACGTCTGCTTTAGAATACGTCCAATTCGGAATACGTCCTGTTTGGACGAAACAAATTTTGCTCGGTATACGACTTTTGTTCGGTATACGACTTAATTCAATTATAAGCGCCATCTATGAACAAGTAGCACTATCGGTGTACTAGACCAGATTAGACGTTCGCGGTGCCGCGGTTTATAACTTTGTTATAAACCGTGGCACCGCGAACGTCTAATCTGGTCTAGTCTTTCTTCTGATTTTAATTTGTAAGTAACATTTAATTGTTTTTATTAATCATGAATTGCAAAAAGGCAACAGAAAAATAAAAAATGCCAATGGAACTGAAAAAAGAGATTGTTGAGAAATATGAAGGTGGCATGAGTGTTCGAGATTTAACTGTTGCATTCTGTATTTCAAGAACGACGATATCGACAATCGTGAAAAATAAAGACATTATTAAATTTGCTAATGTTGGGAAAGGAGTTAAATCAATTTCTAAACAGAGATCGAAGACATTAGATCGTGTTGAGAAATTGCTTTTGCTTTGGATAACTGAAAAACAGTGCGCTGGCGACAGCGTATCGGAAGAAATTATTTGCGAGAAAGCTAAATGGATATATGCTGATCTCATGAAAAATCAAGCAGGAACTAGCGAGGAAAGCGAGGTGTTTAAAGCCAGTCATTTTTTTTTTACATGAGAACGGATTAATCATTTTTACATTACTTCTAATGGGAAAGGTTGGTTTGGTATACGTCCTATTCGGTATAAGTCCAAACACCAGGAACGGATTAAGGTCGTATACCGAGGTTCCACTGTATATTTGCATCATTAATAGCTTTCTGAATTTTTGACTGAACTTTTTGAAATATATCAGGGATGATATTTTCAGATAAATATTTTCTGCTTGGAATATTGCAGTGGTTCCCAATTAGTGGTACGCGTACCCCAGGCAGCGGCGGCCTTATCCATTGCGAGGCTCTGGGCGGCAGATCTTTGCGAGGCCCTGGGCGGCAGAACTTTGCAAGGCCCTTTGCAAAGTATGTGAATTGAAATAGTAGGCACTTATTAATATTAATATATACTGTACTACAAATTAAATTTATTTTATTGTTATAACTAATAGCCAAGGATAAAATAAAAAGTTTTAAATATCAACTTTTTTCTACTTGGTTGTTGCGCGAGGCCCCTCCAAGAGCGAGGCCCCGGGCGATTGCCCTGCTCGCCACCCCCTAAGGCCGCCACTGCCCCCAGGGGTACGCGAAATTGCGTGAAGGGGTACATGCGGAAATCTAAAATCGGTCGATTTAAAATTTAAATGCATGAGATGAAGCAATAAAAAAAATAATGGATGGACCATCAAAAATTCAGCAATTTACAAAATGATGTCGAATGCACAAATTCGTTTATTTATAACTAAAAATAATCGCGAAATTTCATCAAAAAATGCATTTGTGACAATACCTAAATGAAATTCTTACGCAAGAAACAAAAATTGTACAATTAACACAATTTGTGTTAATTGTACAATTATCATTATCTTCTTGTCAGCAAAGCGGCAATAAAATATTTACTACCATTTTGCACAACATACTTCTGCGAGAGCGGATTTTCGACCGTGACAAACATGAAAACTAAATATCGTCACCGACTTGTACTCGAAGATGACTCGAGACTAAAGCTGATCAAAAAGCAACCAGATTTTGCAAAGTTGTGCAAAGAAAATCGTGCACATTTGTCCCATTAAAATTAAATAATCTTATGTTATTTTCATTATTATTAGAATTGTATTTTAAAGGTAATAAATGTAAAAAAAATTATTCTATTTATCACTAGCTGTCTATCCACAGCTTCGCCCGCATTATATCGAATTTTCTCGTAGGAGTAAGATATTTTCTCGCAGTAAAATGTAGTCTATGTCCATCTCCAGCATGTAAGCTATCTCTGTGCCAAATTTTATTAAAACCTGTTCAGTGGTTTAGATGTGAATAATTAACAGACAGACAGACAGAATTACCTTCGAATTTATAATAATAGTGTGGATTAATATGAATTTCTGCTATAAGGGGTACGCGAGTTTGAGCTCTTTCTTGAAGTGGTACGCAGGAAAAACTAGTTGGGAACCACTGGAATATTGTATTTAGGAACTGTTTTTTTTAGTAATATTTGAAAGCTTAAATCGGACACAACAGAGTATAGTTATATATCTACACTTACCATTTCTCCAATCAAATAATGAACTTCTTTGGATCATTGATCATTTATATCCCACAATTTTTTCTTCTCTATTAATTGAGTTAAAGTAACTTGTCTTTGGATATGAGTTTCTGTTGTTACTGATGAACACCCAGCTTCTTTGGTTTCAGAACTTTCTCTTTTCATCTTTCCAGTTTCTTTTAAAAAGTTTTCATGATGACATTTTTGAGATGATTTATCATGTTTGTGATGGTAAAAGTTTTATATTTTTTCCACCTCAATGTAGAAGCCTAGCATAAATTGCACTTGGAAAACTTTTCGTTTTTACCTTTCTTAAAAAATTTCCAAGCAATACTGGAAGGGTTTGAGGAGTTTGGATTTGGCTAATAATTAAAATTGAAAAGTTTTTCAAAATAATAATTTATTATAATTTATCATTCTAATTTAATACATGAATCTGAAAAAGAAAAAAAATAGCTGCATATTAAAAATTATTTTTATTAAGAATACATAATTTCAAGCGATAATAAACATAATATTATTTAACTATTAACGCTAATCAGCCGATTAATCAGTATGGGCTGATAATGCGTGGCCAATTAATTGGTAAGCGGTCATTTTGCTTATTGGTGCATCCTTACTAAAAACATAAACCCTTGACTTCTTAAATTATGCTTATTTATTAAATATATTTTATTGAATATCAGTTTCAAATATTTTAATATGT